AAAAAGATCACTTTTATTTGTATAGCTAAGCCTCATATACACCGTATAGGTTCAATGAAAATGAAATGACCTATTTCTACTCATACTTCAATTGATTCCGCTTCTTTGCTGAAATTCAGTAGGAATCTCATCGCATATTAATGAAGATTTTAGTCTATAGTGCTATTGGCCAGAATAAGCAACTTTTCATTCAATTAATTTTCTAATTTGTTTTGAAGTTAGGTTTTGAGACATCAGTTTAAGCAAGAAATCTACCTTAACGTCACTTATATTCACTTCTGTTTTGCCATGTGCCTGACGATCTGTTCAACTACCGAGAAAACACTCCACTATATCATTCGTCAAGCTGAAACTGTAAAATTATTCAAAGTAGAATAGATAACGAAATGTATTCTAATGGGGTGACGCCTGGGCCGATATGGAACATTTAATATTATTAATTTGTGCATGATTACGCTACTCGTGAGTAGCGCAGATTTTCTCATAAAATGGTGTTGTCCGTAGCCATGTTACAATATGCACTGTTCGTGTAACGGACGGCAGATAGACATTTTACCTGATCGACTGACTGAAAGCGAAATCAGAAGTTTATAGGGTTTCACTTTGACATAGAAAATTTTAAATTTTGGTCACAATGATGAGCATGCATTTTTCACTTGGTGATTTGCACGGACAGTCATAAAAATTTGTGAATTTTGAGTAATTTTCCAATATCCCAATGATGAGAAGAGCACGTATATCGGTGAGCTAATCCTTTATTGAGTCTTTAGAAATTTTCTCACTCGGTTTAGATGAAAATCTTGAATATTACTGAATCCTTATTGTGGATTCCATGCTGTTATTTGTGAAGTCATCCCCGTACCACTTAAACTTTGTTGCCAAACAACTCGTGAATTCCGAAACCTACCATCCTAAATGACAACGAACGAACTTAGACAAAGAGTTTGCTATTCCGTCGTTTAGAAAAATATACACAGAATAAAGCATAACACTCGTCTGCACCAAATTCCGTCCGTTTTTCTCAAAGCAGCAACCGTTTGATCATTGTGGTTCTGCACGAATAAATAACTCTGGTTTTGGCTACTCTATTCTATTCTATTTAATTCAACCATGTGATAAATAAATTCCGTCAACAGATGTATGTAAAAACTGTATATATTCAAAAAATGCGCCTGAAGCTTAATGCCCATGGAATAAACCACACCTGGGTCAAAAATCCGTTTGTTCTAATTCTACCTTTATGGTTTTATCCTGCCTCATCGCCGTCCGGTCCATCAAGTTTGATATGTAAATGGTACTTATGTGGATTTTTAAGAGGTATCTGAATACGACATTAAAGATAAGTCTGGAAGCATGGTTAATAGGCTGCCAATCATTTTCACATTGAAGCTGCTAGGCAACGATTGTATAAATGCAATTTGGAAATGCTCGGTGATCTGCCAGTTATGAAATTTAACAAAAGCAATTATTCCTTCGGGCCAAAGCAAGCAACCCTTATGCAGGCTGAGACCTTTTGTGCCATTGGTTTTTAAAACAATATCTTTTGTGCTCTTCACGAAATTCGCACTGCTTTAGAGGATCCCTTTGTGGCTTTCTTTGGGAAGGCTTCAGTTACTTATTAGCTGCCCGGGTCATCAAACGACATCTGAGATTTTCTTCGGTTTGGTGAATTTTTGTGGAAATTTCACTCCGCCAGGACTTCAAAGAAAGCCTGAAAGAGATCCTTTGAATGATGCAAGGTTCTTTAAATCCTTGAGAAGAAGTATTTTAGCAAACTTGTTCGTAAATTTTATCATGGAAAATTGATTATTCTGTAGACCATCGCATCATGTCCTGCCTCGATGAAGGTTAACTTTTTTTCTAAGAAGTAGCTGCATGATGTTCATTCAATTTTGCATGTCTAAGGTCACAAACAATTTCAAGGTTGGATTTATATAAATACCGACCTACAATCTGAGTTTAACAAGAGTGGAAAAATATTCTCGGTGCTTTAAGGAGAAGATAATGTACTCCCATCAAGTACTGCTTTGAATACGAAAGTCACATCACCAATGATAAATTGCACAGTGATCACAATAAGCATTGTGTTTTTCTATCACCGTATGCTTTTGATTTTGTAAGATAAAATACTTATTTCAAACAGGTTCATACTACTAACGCTAAGCTATAATATACAACTCTTGCTGTTTCATATTTAAAATTTCTTAGGTAAAGCACAAAATTTTGCAATTTTTTGGTTGTTTTATTTGGCTAATTAGGAAGCGCTTTGGATTTTAGCATTTTCAATACCACAGAGGTGAAATGGCAAAACGCGTGAGTGTTGAACTTATCTAATCGAAGTCATTGATAATAGGTGTACTCAGAGGGAAATGTGCCACGAATAGGTGACCTGTATGGGCCTGTCGTCAACGCTATATATTAAGAGTGTGGTATAAAATGACGATGACCAGATAAGACCATTTAATGATCCGCAACAAACTCAGTGTTGTTACCATTGTTCTAGCAAATTTTCTCCAATAATTTGGTCAAATCCGAAATGCTTTCTTCTTATCAATGATTTATCTGATTTATTACATTTCACTTTCAATTTTCCCCCTAGTAAACGTATTGTACATGTAAACGCCTACAGTATATTTTGATGTTCACTGATCTCAGCTGATAAATATAAAATAAAACACTCGATGGTTTAAGCAGTAGAGAAATTCTTCGAGTGTCCGAAAAGTTTCAGGCATCAATTGGAATAAAGTTTGGTGAGAAATGACACTGACTTAAGGCAAAAAAAGTCTAGTAATCTATCTTCCTCCTTTAACAAAAGAGAAGAAGTGCAGATAAGAAACCAAACATAATGTCAAAACATGCAGTAATTCAGCAAATCCGCAAATTTTGCAAATATTTCTTTGAATTTTGTTCTGTTCAAACATACAGTTTTCAGTCTTCGTTCATATTCAGCGAGGTGCTTGTCCTTTTCTTTCATCTGTTCTTGTAGTGAGTGAATACGCTCCAGCTTTTTATCTGTTGTACCACTGATACTGGTGCTCATATTTAACTTCAAATCTTCCAGAAGCTTCTCAGTTCTTTCAACCTCTTGAGTGGCCTCTGATAGTTTTTTCTTGAGTAGTTCAACCTCAAAAAGATAACAAACAAAAGTTTTGTTTTTAATTATATGATCACATTTTATTCTGAATGGACATTATAAAATTGAGGGAAATTACGAGTAACTTTCATGCATTGCATGCACACATAATAAATACGTTGCACTTGGGTACATTTTTAACAATATTTGTTAAATAAGATTAAACTGATGGTTTTAAGGAGTACACATTTTGTTTAAATCAGTTAAGTTGCAAAGGAACCATAAAATATATTCAAATAAACAATGTCAACATTTCCATATTTAACTTGTTTAAATGTAAGCGTGTTGTAATCTAACTCCACCCATTATATTTCTAGTTATCTCACCTATAAGCCTAGAATGGTCGATGGATACAATTTATTAAGAGTTTTCAAGTTGACCGTTCCTGCCAATTTTCTTCAGCTTCTCGCCATTTTCATCAAAATTTTGTAATATTCTCTAAATTTGGTTCTCTGTTTTACTTGTTATGTTTCGTTCACACATCTAGATTGATAAAATTTTAATAAAAGCATTTCAAGTATTCTCATTTTATCTCTTTATCAGAGTTTTGTACATCACTCCTAAAAATTAAATCTTGGATAAGGTAATTCACTTACCACTTACTCAAATGCAGCTTTTTCTTTTCCTCAGTGTTGCTTAAAATCCCTTCAATAATTAAATAAACTTTTGTATAAAGGCACTTTATCTAGACATTTGTTTTACTGCAATTTGTTAGGCACATAATCTGACCCAAAAAAATTGTATCAATAAATAGATTTTTCATGACGCTTCTAAAATTTTATAAAATCACGATAAGGCGTTTTTGGTTGTTATTCATCCCAACCCAATAGTCCATTCATCGGAATTCCCGTCGAGTCTGGCAGAAAATCATTCTTTGGCTTAGCCCATCACTTCCTGAGAAACATAAAGAAAACAACGTTCACGACAGCGGTCATGAATGGGCAAATGTTTATTTGAATTACACAGTTTTATTACTGAAAATCCAGTCATTAATTTTCTTTGTTATAAAATAAAGTTAGTGTGCTTTTCTTTGAAAAATCACTACTTCGTAAAATATATGGCCTTTATCTCTGATGTTTTCACTTCTATCAAAAAAATAGGTTTCTGACTATGAATTAGGTTTAGCAAAATCTCAACTAACGGCGGATAACTTTTGGTTTACTANCTATTTTTTAAACATATTATGAAACTGTTGTTTCACAGATATGAAGATCTTTTGTGGAGATTTTGAAAATTTCATTAGCCTAAGTGGGATTAGAACTCACGCCCGGACGACGTCAACGCTTTGTACGCGCACTCTCTACCAGTTAAGCTACGAGGCCGCATTATTAGCATTGATCTTTTCACACCCAAATTACCTATCCAACTTACAGAAGCAAATATCATCAACCTTAAACATCAAATCAATAATTCGGTTTAATCATATGGCAAATTTTGTCCCGTTTAAATAAAACTAAGCTTAAACGAAATAACTGGAATGCACCATACAGGTGTTTTCATCTGACTGGTTTTCACCAGAGGTGCGGAACCATGGTACCAAGTGAAGATCAAATCTCTAGACCTCAAGGGTAGAACACAAGCGTAATACATACCCGGCCATTGGTAAGATGACCAGATCGCTTTTTATGTTCCTCATAAATGACATAGTGGATTCTGTCCTTGGGAACTCAATGCAGACATCACACTTTGTGCATTAAAGCATCAGCCTACAAGGTTGTGGCCCGGCTGAAAATATACCAAAATGATTTCATGGTGCATGAAAAGAATGGAGGATTTTCTTTGATTACAGGTCGAGTTTCGTTATGTGCTATATACTTTGCATAGTTAAACTAGAGACCTGCTAATCAGCTGCCCGATCCCATGGGGGTAGTATGTCCGCGTTATACTTGTGAGATCTAGGGCTCGATTCTCATATAGGTGAGTGAATTCGCACTACTGATAAGATTCAACCAGGTAGAAGTAGCTTCATTGAGCTATTTAGTTGTTCATTCGCTTCTTTTGCTCTGCACACGATTAACTAAAGCATGTGATATAAATAAACATAATGGTTAAATTACAACAAGGATTTACCTCCCCATCTCGTTCCTTTAGTGTTTTAGTAAGCAACGATACATCCATCATATTTTTGTCCATGGTAGCATTATTCAGTTTATGTCTCAGCTTTTGAATTTCTTCATAGAGTTGAACAATTTCAAAATCTTTTTCTGAAAGAACCTATCAGGTAAGCATAGAAAAGTTCCAGTACTTGTTTCCATTCGTTAACTTTCGTTTCTATTGCATCCATTATAAAGTCGTTTGAACTATCTGGTTCCTCTGGACGTCTAGTTAGTTGAGCTATTTGGGAACGCAGAACTTCACACTCTGCTGTTTTCTTTGAAATGACGTCGTCAGCTTCAACTAAAGCATTTTTCATACGACGATGTTCCTCAGCTGCTCGATCGATTTCACCAGTTGCTTGCTTGAGATGACACTCCAAACGTTGAATATCCGACCATAATGAATGCTTTTCATCTTCAAGTGTCTGCGGTTTTATATTGTAAAATATATATCTTAAGATATGTAATTACATCGATTTTTGCCTTTTGTACTCTGATTTGAGAGCGGAGAGTTGAAAGTTCTTTTCTGAATTTGACTTCTCCTGGATCCTTAAGGAGAGTTTTCTCTTGAATTCTTGACTGTAAAAACTCGCATCTCTCTGAAAGTTCTTGATTTGCCTCTTGCAGCGAGTCAACCTTTCTCTTGAGATCTGCTTTTTCAACTGAAATTGACTCCTTTTCTCTGGAGAGTAAATCAACCTTTTTCCTTAGGCCCCTTGTTTCCTCAGAAAAAGTTTTAATATCATCCGCTAGCCTCTTTTTCTCGTTCATGATTTCTTGACTTGCTCCAGAAATCGCCAGCGCCTTCTGCAGCTCACTGTTTTCTTTTTCTAACTCATCATTTTGTTCTACAAGACCGAGTATCTCATTCTCCTTCTCAGATAAAATAGTTTCTATTGTCTGCCATTGTTGTGAACGAAAGTTCAAAGCGGCAGAGGCCAACTCAAATGCATGAGCGATTCCCTTTTTATCGTCGCAAGTTTTAACATCGAGCTAAACAAAAATATCGAAACCAACAAACCTTACATCGTTCACTAGTTCTATCAAATCGTCTATGTTATCATTGTCAATATCAGATGCCGTGTATTTCTTCAAATTGTCCCAACTCGTTTTCAACATTACGCGTTAACAACGCATTCAAAAAGGTCACAGCGTCTCAAGGTCACTTCACTTCACTTCAGTTCTCCCAGGACGAATTGTGGCTCTTGCAAATCGCGCGTCCAGTTCCTTGTGTTGTCGGCGGTTTCGTTGGCTTCCAACACTTCAAGTCAATAGTAGTTTCTGAAAGGCAGAATGTTAGTGTGCAGTATCGGATCCCTTATGGTATTTCGGAAAGTAAAGCCTAACGATTAACTTTCAACACTCAACTTCAGGGACTACCACTGCCCAGCATTCATCTAGCCTTCTCTTGAAAGATTCGACATTATTACAGTTAACCACTGCTTCAGGTAGTTTATTCCATAGTGGTATAACTCTGTGAAGAACCTAGCTCGCACATTTAGTCTACAATGACTTCTTTCCAATCTGAGTTGATGGCCCCTCGTGCCCCTGGCAGGAACAAAAGAGAATATGTTTTGGAACCTTAGAACCGAAAGCCCTTTGACAATCTTAAATGTCTCTATAAGGTCGCCTCGCATGCGTCTGCGGGCCAGGGAGAACAGGTCCAGGTCCCGCAGTCGTTGGAGGTATCCCTTGTCTTTCTGGCCTGCTACCATTCTAGTTGCTAAGCCCTGTACTTTCAGGTCAGGTCAGGTCAGGTTGCGCAGGACGGAAAAGGCTTTCGTCAACCAAGCGTCCAGATTCTTGCTTCGGTAAAAAGGTTTCTTCTCCCAAAGATTCAAAAATCGTTTCAGTCGCTGTCTCGCAACTGAAACGATTTTTGAATCTTTGGGAGAAGAAACCTTTTTA